TTTAAATGTGTGTTTTTTTAAATCCTCAGCTGAGGATATGTTTTATTGATTTTAGAGAGAAAGGAAGAGAGTAAGAGAGAAACATCAACGTGAGAGAGAAACATCTCACTGCCTCCCATATGCACCCTAAGGTCACAGGGGTTGAACCTGTGACCTTTTGGTGTCCAGGATGACGCTCCAACCCACTGAGCCACCGGCCAGGGCATGTCAGGACCCTTAACAGAAATGATTGTGACGTTGTCCCTGGTTCCCTGTTTGGAGCATCCCTGGAGCCCCCAGGAATCGCCAAGGTCCTTCGTTTCCTTCCCTTTGTCACCGTCGAAAATCATGTCTGTGTTTTCCTGTGAATTCACCATTTGTCACTTACCAACATTTTATGTGATTTTTTTTTTTTTTTTTTAGAAAATAGATATCACCAATAAAGTTGTTACAGAAATTCTTTTGAAAGCCACAGAATACATTTAGCCCAATCCAGGTAACATGGGACAATCTCTGGAACTGTCCTATGGCCCATTCACGGTGACCCACGCTGACCACCCACGTCAGCTGGGCCCTCCCTCGATGTGATCTAGAAACAATGCCCTTGTACCTGGGTTGCGGGCACATCCCCAGTAGGAGATGTGCAGGAGGCAGCTGAGCGATGTTTCTCTCTCATCGATGTTTCTAACTCTCTATCTCTCTCCCTTCCTCTCTGTAAAAAATTAATAAAATATATTTAAAACAAAAAACAAAACAAAACAAAAAACAATGCCCTAACGGTTTCAATCATGAAATGTGTTTTTTTAAAAAATATATTTTTATTTATTTCAAAGAGGAAGGGAGAGGGAGAGAGAGAGAGAAATGTCAATGATGAGAGATAATCATTGGTCCGCTGCATCCTGCATGCCCCCCACTGGGGTTCGAGCCCACAACCTGGGCATGTGCCCTGACCAGGAATCAAACCGTGACCTCCTGGTTGACAGGTTGACTCTCAATCCCTGAGCCACACCAGCTGGGCCCGAAATTTGGTTTTTTGATGTCTACTCTCCAGCGACTCTACGGTTGCCTGGGCTGATGAGTGCAGAGTGGACAGTCCTGGGACCTGTTGGGAGGGCTCCTGGGCCAGCAGCTGGGCACTGCTCAGCAGAGACATGTAGGAGACCCTTTAGAAACCCACTCAGTGTTTTGTAAATGCTTGCTGCTTACTTAGTCATTTCCACTTTTTTTACTTACCTTTGTTGTTGTTAATCCTCACCCAAGGATAGTTTTCCATTCATTTTTAGAGAGAGTGGAAGGGAGAGGGGGAGACAGAGAGAAACATTGATGTGAGAGAAACACATCGATGGGTTGCCTCCTGCAAGTGCCCCGACCAGGGCTGAGGAACCTGCAACCAAGGTTTGTGCCCTTGACCAGAATCGAACCCGGGACCCTGCAGTCTGCAGGCTGACACTATATCCACTGAGCCAGACCGGCTAGGGCTCATTTACTTTTTAAAATATATTTTTATTGATTTCAGAGAGGAAGGGAGAGGGAGAGAGAGACAGAAACATCAATGATGAGAGCGAATCATGGATCGGCTGCCTCCTGCACGCCCCACACTGGGGATCTGCCCACAACCCTGACCCCAATCGAACTCGGGACCCTTCAGTCCGCAGGCAGGCCAATGCCCTATCCACTGAGACATACAGGCTAGGGATAAATTAATTTTGAGAGAGGAAGAGAGAGAGAGAGAGAGGAAGAGCAAGAGAGAGAGAGGTCCTGATATAGACTGGTTGCAATGTGTGCACAATTTCCATTTCCCACGTGACTTTGCAACCAATCAGTAGGCACCCACCTGGTTGACGCATCTGCCAATCACGGGAAAGACTAAATAGGTCACTGCGGCCCTTTGGCACCTCGGGTCTCTGACTTGTTGCCGAGGGTGCCCTTGATCTTGCCGGCTGCATTTGTTGCATGCTCTGTGCCTGTCCCTCTGCCCTGTCCCTTGAAGGAATTACAAATGACCCTGTCTTGAAGCATGCAGAGCGAAGCTGGGGATGCTGAGCCCAATGTTGAAGATCCACAATCAGGGGAAGGCCTCAGAGTGCCTGCAGCCAGAGGGCCTGCTGGGCGACTGCATGCTCAAGTACGGCCAGGAGCTGGGCGAGGACTCCACCTTCGGTGAGTGCACAGGGCCCGGAGGGTGGGACACAGCCTGTATCGCCTATAGGTTATACACGAAGCCTTTCTTTTCTCTTTTCTTCTTTTTTTTGGATTGATTTCAGAGAGTAAAGGAGAGGGAGAGAGAGAAATATCAATGATGAGAATCATGGATCGGTTGCCTCTTGTGCGCCCCCCTACTGGGGATCCTGGGCATGTGCCCTGACCAGTCATCAAACCGTGACCTCCTGGTTCATAGGTTGATGCTCAACCATTGAGCCATGAAGGCTGGCCAGGAGATTTTTTTGTTTGTTTGTTTTTGTTAATTCTCACCTGAGGATATTTTTCCCATTGATTTTTAAGGAGAGTGGAAGAGTGAGGGAAAGACAGAAACTTCGATATGAGAGAAACACATTGATTGGTTGACTCCTTCATGGCCAGGTCCCTTCTTGAGAAGCGTGCAACCCAGGTACTTGCCTTTGATCGGAATCGAACCTGGGACTCTGGTCCGAAGGCCGACGCTCTACCCACTGAACAACACCCGCTAGGGCCAGGAGATGTTTTTAAGAGAATCTTCAACCTCATTGTGCACAGCTTCAAGGTCTCCTGCTTGCAAATTAATGCAGATTAGCTGTTGCCCAGGTACTGGGGGTCATTCAGGAAGAGCTGCCCTTCGCTGTCCACACTGGGCATGGCTGCCCACCCTGCTGGGAGCTACCTGTGTGACACTGCCAGGCTTCCTCCACACCAGGGAGGATCAGGTCGCCTTGCCCTTGGAAGGATCCAGGGTGAGGCCCCAGGAGGACCTGGCAGCAAAAGCTGAGATGAGATGTTCATTCATTCCTATTGTCATCTTCATTGTTGGTGCTTAGCCCAGAGGAGGACTCAATCCTTTTATTGTTTACAAAGAGGGACTTTTTTCTGCAGCTTCTAAAAACCCTAGCGGTTCTCAACCTGTGGGTCGCGACCATCGGAAAACACATATAGCATATCAGATATTTACATTACGATTCATAGCAGTAGCAAAATTACAGTTATGAAGTAGCATCGAGAATAATTTTATGCTTGGGGGTCACCATAACATGAGGAACTGTATTAAAGTGTCGCGGCATTAGGAAGGTTGAGAACCACTGCTAGGGCCAGTTGACAAAAACACATTGTGGTTTGTTTTTTTTACAAAAATTGATCTTTATCTCCATCTAGTGGCCAGAATGGAAAGTGCCTCGGCCTGTCAGCTGCCAGGTGAGTTTGATGTAGAAAAGGAGGAAGTAGAGAAGAAATGTAGAAAGTTTTTATTTTTAGCCTGGCTAGCGAGGTTCAGTTGTTGAGTTTCTTTTTTTTTCATTTTTTTTCCAAGAAAAAAATCTTTTAAATATAACAATGTTACATCCAATAAACATTAGTATCTCAAGAGAAACGATCTTTTTTAAAAAAAATATATTTTATTGATTTTTTACAGAGAGGAAGGGAGAGGGTTAGAGAGTTAGAAACATCGATCAGCTGCCTCCTGCACACCCCCTACTGGAGATGTGCCTGCAAACAAGGTACATGCACTTGACCCGAATCGAACCTGGGACCCTTCAGTCTGCAGGCCTATGCTCTATCCACAGAGCCAAACCAGTTAGGGCAAGAAAAAAAAGTCTTAAATATAATGATACATGCAATAAACATTAATATCTCAAGAAAAATGATTATAAACATAATAATTTTACATGAAATAAACATTAATATTTCAAGAAAAAAAGGATTTTAATTATTATAATTATTACTAGGGGCCAAGTGCACAAATTTGTGCACCTTGAAAGGAACTGTGGGCCGCGAGGCTGTAGTGGGCACAGGGGTGGGTCTCAGCCCATCCTCCATGCCCCCTCCCGGCCCCTCCTGCCGCGACCCCAAAGGCGCCTAGTGATTGGGGCTGGCGCTGGCAGTGGGTGCGAGTGGCGGCTCTGGCACCAGCAGCGGGTGGGAGTGGGGCTGTCACCAGCAGCGGGTGTGAGTTGCAGCTGCCAGCCTGGATCGCCCCTCAGGAGCAGGGGGAGGTGGAGAAGCCCTGAGGGGTGATTGCTGCTGGCAGCCACTGCTCACACCTGCTGAAAGCACCAAGCGATGAGGACCAGCGCTGGCCACCAGCCATGGGTGCCAGCGGTGGCTCCAGCACTGGCAGTGGGTGCGAGTGTGGCCAGCGCTGGCAGTAGGTGTGAGTGCCAGGTGGGACTGCGGCGCACAGGAGCAAAGAATTTTCAGTAACTACCAGCGGCTCGCCCTGATGACAGTGACTGGCACACCGCCTTGGTCTGGTGCCCCCGCTCACCTGCTGCACCATCCCGTCATGGATGATGCCCTCCATGTTCCACGCACGAACCCTGGTGATCAGCACACATCATAGCAACTGGTTGTTCCTGTTGTTCCACTGGTCTATTGGCATATTAGCCTTTTATTATATAGGATATTCAGTGATTGAGTTTTAACCTAAGAACCAAGAGGTCACGGTTCAATTCCAGTCAAGCGCACATGCCTGGGTTGTGGGCTTGATCCCCAGTAGGGGCCATGCAGGAGGCAGCCGATCCATGATTCTCTCTCATCATTGATGTTTGTCTCTCTCTCCCTCTCCCTCTCCCTTCCTCTCTGAAGTCCATGAATATATGTTTTTAAAAAAGGAAGTTTTTGTTTGTATTCTTTTCCTCGTCAGTCCCTGAGTGAAGACCTTGTTAAATAAACCATCACCCACATACCTTGGGCAAGAAGTGAATAGCGCTGCCAACCTCTGTGCGCTCTGTGAACGAGCGCTTTTTATTTTTCTGTGCCAGGCAGCGCGCTGACCGATATGGGCGAAGCTATGAAGCTGATGGCGGAGGTGAAAGAATCCTTTGATATTAACGTCAAGGAAACCTTTATTGATCCACTCCAGTTAGTACACTACGAAGATTTAAGTGAGATTTCGGTAAGTTTTCTCGGCTATAAACCCCCACATTGCTACTTAAAATGATGTTTGTAGTTAAAACCATGAGAACGTGTCTCTGTAGGGACCCAGCGAAAGCATCATCTTAGTGTGGGCCGTGAAACAGATAATCACTCAGTGATGTTCACTTGGCCCCCTGGGCAGGAGCCCCAGGAACCATGAGCCCTTTATCCTGTAGCTTTTTTTTTTGTGCATGTGTGTTTTTTAAGGTAAAGGTGTTTATTTATTTTAATACTTATCCGAGGATATTTGTTCCATTGATTTTTTAATTTTAATTTTTAAAAAATATTTTTATTTTTATTGACTTCAGAGAGGAAGGGAGAGGGAGAGATAGAAAGATCAGTGAGGAGAGAGAATCATTAATCGGCTGCCTCCTGCATGCCCCCCACTGGGGAGTGAGCCTGCCATCCGGCATGTGCCCTTGGCTGATTTGAACCCAGGACCCTTCAGTCCACAGGCCAGTGCTCTAGCCACTGAGCCAAACCAGCTAAGACTGTTCCATTGGTTTTTAGAGAGAATGGAAGAGAGAGGGAGAGACAGTGAGAAACATCGATGTGAGAAAAACACATCACCTGGTTGCCTTCTGCTCACACACTGACCAGCGCCCCTGCTGAGGAGGAGACTACAACCGGAATGGAACGCGAGACCCTTAGGTCTAAAGGCCAATGCTCTATCCACTGAGCCACACAGGCTAGGGTTATCCTGTGGCTTATTGAAGCCAGCAAGAAACCAAGCTAAAGGTACTTATTTCCACAGCCATTACTCACAGCAAATGATTCTAAAACTGTGGAGTGGGTTTTCAATGATGAAAATCATAACATACTCATTGCATCTTTTTAAAAAATATATATATTTTATTCATTTTTTACAGAGAGGAAGGGAGAGGATAGAGAGAAACATCGATGAGAGAGAAACATCGATCAACTGCCTCCTGCACACTCCCCACTGGGGATGTGCCCGCAACCAAGGTACATGCCCTTGACCGGAATCGAACCCGGGACCCTTCAGTCCGCAGGCGGACGCTCTATCCACTGAGCCAAACCGGTTAGGGATCATTGCATCTTTTTAAAAAATATATATTTTTTATTGATTTAAGAGAGAGAGAGAGAAACATCAATGATGAGAGAGAGAATCATTTGATCCACTGCCTCCTGTACAACCCCTACTGGGATTGAGCCCACAACCCAGGCATGTGCCCTGACTGGGAATCAAACTGTGACCTGTTTCCTAGGTCAATGCTCGACCACTGAGCCACAATGGCTGGCCTCATTGCCTCTTTTGATACATGGCACAAGTGGTCATGAATTTCCAGGACTTCATTTTATTTTGGAAAGCTTTCTAAAATGGCCACGTGGAGCTCACATAAAAGAGGGTGTGTGTGTTTCATTCATGGTAGTGTTTACTCAACTCATTCTGTAATTGTTGAGGAGCCTTATGGAAGACATATAAGTACTCCAGAACAAGCATGTCAAACTCAAAGCTAACACGGGCCAAATAAACAAGGTTTAAGTATATGTGGGCCACCAAAAAAAAAAAGAAAAAGAAAAAAGCTTCAATTTTCATAGAAATGTAGGTTTATTTCGATAGAGACATGTTGAATACAAAGGGCTGAAATAAATGAGTCATCATTCACATAAAATAATAGAACATTTTAATAAAAATTAATATTTTTTCTTGAACATTGACTTACCAGACACTGAATAACTGCACAAATGAATAAGCGTAATGCAAATAAACCCATTTTTCTTGTTCTCTGAAAGCGAGATATTTTCTGTTGTGAACACCAAAGAAGTCAGTCCAAGACTAATGACTTGGCCACCAGCTGCTAAAATATTCGCTGCTAGTATTAGTGGAGAGAAATGGTGCACCTGCGAGTAAGCTGCATAAGGGAAATGAATGCAAAATGATGATAGTAATCAGTCATTAACAAACATTGTAGTTCGTTATTAAGAATTATCTCTAACAAAATATTGTAAAAATTAAGTTGCGAAATTTTTATCAAAACGTTTCTTACATACCTTTATATTGGCTGGGCCGCAAAAATATTCGTTGTGGGCCACATGTGGCCCACGGGCCACAAGTTTGACATGCTTGCTCTAGAAGATACTAGAGATTTGTGTTTTTATCATCTACTTCTTAATAAGGATTTGACAATAGTGCCAGAAGACATATCCCTTTTTTGGTATAGATAATTTGTTTGGAAATTACGGACATTAACAGAGCTGGTGAGGGGTCCTGTAAATAACTTTGAAAATGGAATCTGAGTGACAATATTGTGTCCTTATGTTCCATATTAACTATCTGTCATCCATTTAATCCATCCATCCATTCATCCATTTATGTTATCATCCATCCATCCATCCATCCATCCATCCATCCATCCATCCATTTACTAGAAGCCCAATGCACAAAATTCGTGCAAGGGGCTCGGCCCTCACACCCTCAGCCAGCCCTCACAGCCCCAACTTCATCAGGAAGCTCGTTCAGACAGTCGTCTAGAATGTCAATGTCATTTGGATGGTCGTTCTGCTGTTCGGTCTAATTAGCATATTAGCTCTTTATTATATAGGACTAGAGGCCTGGTGC